TAGGGCTGCCATAAAAAAGTACCACAAAATAGGTGGCTTATGAGAACAGAAATTTATTGTCTCACAAGTCTGGAGGCTGGAAGACCAAGATTAGAGTGTTGGATGTTTCATTCCTTCTGAAAACCATAAGGGAAAATCTGTTCCATACGTCTCTCCCAGCTTCTGGAGTCAGCCAGTGATCCTTGGCTTGAACATGCATTATTCCAATCTCTGCCTCCACCTTCACATGACTGTCTTCTCCTGGTTTTTTTTTTCCCCCAAGACTGAGTATAGAGAATATTTTGCTAGGTTTACAACATGAGTTAAATTAATGGAACGAAATTAAATTGTGTGATCCAATTCAGGAATCTTTTTTTTTTTTTTTTTAAATAAGGATAGTACTCAAATTGGATTAGGACCCACCCTACTCCACTACTCCAGTATGACCTCATGTTAACTGATAACATGTTCAAATACTATTCCTAAAGTCACATTCACATGTACAGGAGTTAGGATTTCACCATGTATTTTGGAGGATAAAAATCAATCCATAATGGTGATGAAATAAGAAATCTAATACAATCTTAGATCATCACTGGAGCTAATGTACAGGTGAGACCAGTTTGGAATAAGGTTCAGTTCCTTCTGACATTCCTAGTATTATCTCAAGGTGATTCCACTTCTTCCTCCCTAACTCCAACCTCTGAAACCTGGATTACTTCCCAATAAACCTTATATTTTGAATACTATGCCTGCCCTGAAGTGAATATTCTCCTTGGTGGCATAATGGGAGAGACTGGCTATTTCCTACAGGAAATGTTGAAACATACATTCATACATACACCACCACCACTACGCACACACCACCACCACCACTACTCACAGTCATACATGCATACCACTACCTCCACTACCACCACTCACTCACTCATACACACACTACCACCACCATCTCCATGACTATCACTCACACACACCACCACCATTACCACCACGACTACTCACACACAATTACCACCTTCACCATCACTACTCATACACTCTACAACTTCCATCATCACCAATACCTCTACCACCACCAGCACTATCATCATCACAAATATCCCCACTACCTCCACCATCACTACCTCTATCACCACAACTACTATCACCCTCTACCATAACCACTGTTGCTAACATCATTATCCCCACCACTACCACCATCACTACCACCATCACCACCCCACTACCACTACTGCCATGATCATCCTGTTACCACCACCATACCACTACGAAATGTTATTACAAAATAGTAACCTAACAAAGGAAACTAACAGTTTGAAAAAGTGTCTCTTAATCTACACACAAGTCTGAACATTTCCTGACTTTGAACTGTTATCTTATGTATGCATACATACAGTGCTTCTAGAGGACCCAGAGCATCTGTTTGACAGCCCAGTCTGGCACTCACTGCTCTAATCATGCCAAATAAGCCATAGTAATGTGCAGATTTATGACAGACTATGAGGCTGGCCTGCTGAATGCCTGCCTGTCCTCTTCTCACCAGGTGGGAAAGGGAAGCACAACACTTAAAATGTATGCCAAGTGGCACCTGGCTGTGGTCCCACTCCTCTCCAAAGTTACTGGGCATTTGCATGACAGGGAATGAGTAGCCAAGGGTAAGTGCAGAGGATCCTGGCAGTTGACCCAAGTGTTGAGGGCCTTTAAAACCAATGTCACCCTCCAGTTAGGTTGTTGGAAGCTTTACACCAGCTCAGCGGGAGCAGCACCTGTCAGTTCCCTTTTAAATATAGAAAATCAGAGCTGAAACTACTGGCTCCTGACCCTTGTTTGACCCTACTCATCACTTGGTCAAGTTGCTATGAGGGGTAATACTTTGAAGTAAATGGCCACTTTTTTTCCATTTTGGGGAGTCATTTGGTAGAATCAATTTATTTTCATACTACTTAGAATGACACTGCTCATACTTTTCTTTGGAACATTCTTTAAAAAAAATACATCAGCCTCTTTAATATGAATCCTTTACTCACTCCTCAACTTTTCTTTTTAACATTTAAGTGGTACTATAATCAAGGGAATGAAATAAATATATGATCAGATATAAAATTATATTTTCTCTAATTTTGAATGTGTAAAAACTGGAAAAATCTTAAACCTACAGTTTAAGGTTTTTTTCTCATCCTATGATTTTGTAAATAAGCTTTGTACATTTGTTTGTACTTTACACTCCAATTCAAATGCTAAAATTAGAAACTGACCATAGCAGTCGGCACTTTTTGACAAAGTATAATTTATCCTAGAGAAGCGTATAATCTTAACCAAAATCACTTACTAAAATGGCTTCTTCAGTGACAAATTTAAGCCTAGTGTCAGACTTGGGTTCAAATCTCAGCTCTGTCACATCTTGGAGATATGACTTTGACCTCTAAATCACATGGTAAGAATGCAATAAACTGTGGAAATTACTGCTGCTTGCCTGTTTAAAATTCTCCAACAACCTAGAATTTATTATTTCATATAAATTCAAGTGAAGTTAACTTGCATGCAAGTAGTTTATAATATAATATAAATATGATTGCTAGGAGGAAAAGTTGCTTGAAAATTTTAGCATATTATTTATAAATCTATGACTGTTCCTATGTAAAGGTGATTCCATTAGTTTAAAAAGTCATAGAATTATTTACCCGGACACAAAATTCCACTTGTAGAAATTTATAGAATAGCTATCCTCATGTGAGGAGCTCTGGTAGCATAGTGCCTAAGGCATCTGATTGCTAACCAGAAGGCTGGCAGTTCAAACTACCAGCCACTCCTAGGAAGGAAGGTTGGGCAATCTACTACCGTAGCGATACTGCCTCAGAAACCCAAGGAGGGGTTGCTATGAGTCAGGTCCAACTCGATGGACCTAACAACAACATCCTCATGTGCACAATGATGTATTCACAAAATTATTCATTGTGGCACTATTAAGGAAAATAGTATAAACAATCTAAATGCTCATTGATAGGGAACTGGTTAAACAAAATAAGTACAACTACATAATGAATATTATGTATCCATGAAAAAGATGCAAGTGAAGTGAAAAAAAGTAGCCTGCAAAAGTGTTTGTAGTATCAGATCAAGTATGAATGGAAAAAAGGAAATAAACTATACATTTCTGTAAGCATGTAAGAAAACAAAAGAATCGTTGCCCTCCAGGGAGGGAGGAAAACTGTGAACTAAGAGAGTTGCATCTAACACTACCCTTTAGGATTTTGTAGTGTGTGCATATTCAAATTTTTTTGGTAAAGAAAATAAAGGCATACTAGAATTTCTACTTACCACTTGCCTGTCAGTTTGTTGTACTGTAGTGGCTTGCTGGTTGCTATGATGCTGGAAGCTATTTCAAATATCTGTAGAGTCATCCAAGACAGCAGGTTTCAGTGGAGCTTCCAGACTAACACAGACTAGGAAGACAGGCCTACTAGAGGTTACTTCAGAAAACTAGCCAATCAAAATTCTGACTCATTTGCTTTGGACATGTCATTGGGAAAGACCAATCCCTGGAGGAAGACACCATGTTTGGTAAAATAGAGCCAGCAATGGTGAGGGAAAACTTTGGTGAGGTAGTTTAGTAGCTTCAAGGATAGACTTGAACATGCCAGCAATCACAAGGATGACACAGAACCAGGCAATGTTTCCTTCTGTTGTACATGGGGTCACCATGAGTCAGAGCATGGAAGGCTGAATGGGCCCCTCACTGAAAACTGCAAAACTTTAACACACTAGCAGGCATGATTAAAGTAGAAATTAATCATAATGACTAACTTGCTATTTTTCCCTCCCTTTTGGTTTAAGTAAATAGAATAGCTAATCTCTCTGGACGCTGTTCTTAGGCTTGTTATTTTCAATTATACATTCTTCTTTCTAAGTATAACCCTCTCCCACAACTGGTTTTGGCTGAGAACTATAGCCTATGAAGTCCCTGGGAAGAGGGACATTGAGTCCAGAGTAACGAGGGAAGAGAACAAAGACATTCCTGGCAGTCCAATTGATCTTCAACCCCCTTCCTATCTCCCTATATAATCATGTTTACCTTTTTGTTTGGATAGACAGAAATTTTAGAGAAGTGATTCTGTTTCCTTGGTTATCAATACTCAATAAACCTTTTGTTTTCCCTTTTCAACCTGTTGTGAACATTGTCTCTTCAGGACAGGGGTAAGGACCTTGTTCCTACAAGAGCTGGCTTGATGCCAGCTATGTATGTATCTACCTGCCTTGGGGTCCATGGATGGCACAAACGGTTAAGTGATAGCCCACTAAATTGAAAGATTGGTGGTTTGAACCTACCTAGTGGTGCACTGGAAAAGGCCCGGCAATCTACTTCCAAAAGGTCACAGCCTTAAAAAATCCCATGGAGCAGTTCTACTCTTACACACATAGGGTTGCCAGGAGTTGGGAGTTCACTTGATGGCAAGTGGTTTGGATTTTTGTTAACTATCAGGATTTCTACATGAAAATATATTTAGTGTGCTTTCAAGTAGGCCCCTTTCAACTAATAAGCATTTTTAGGCATTTTGAATCAGTTTGCTTTCCATCTTAAACTGGGCATGATTGTAGTTGGTGCAGTTTTACCACACAAAGAGTAAATTCATTGAACTTGCTCATCTCTTCCCTATGTTAAAGAAAGAATTTAATCTAGTGTGTTCTGAAAGTTATGTTTAAATTTAAATGAAGAACTCCATAAAAAGAAAAAGGAAGAGAAAGAAAAGAGGACACCATTAAGGACACAAATGTTTATGTGATTTTAACCATTACAACAGTAGCTCAGAAATATTGCAAATGTTACATTGAAGTAATCAATATTACAAATAAAAAAAAGGAAAACAAGTGACAGGCAACAGTGAAGAGCACCAGAGACCCAGCGCACACCTAAATATACCATGCTTCTTTCCTTCAACTGCCAGGAGATTTTACCAGTATGCCCCCCTCCCCCTTGCTTTCCTCCTAAATCTTTCCCTAACCTGCTTTCAGTTCTGATTTTAAGCCTCATCCTCGCCTTCCTCCTCCTCGAACTCCCCTTGCTCATCAGCTGTGGCATCCTGGTACTGCTGGTACTCAGACACCAGGTCATTCATGTTGCTCTCAGCCTCAGTGAACTCCATCTCATCCATGCCCTCACCCGTGTACCAGTGCAGGAAAGCCTTGCGCCGGAACATGGCCGTGAACTGCTCAGAGATACGCTTGAACAGCTCCTGGATGGCTGTGCTGTTGCCAATGAAGGTGGCTGACATCTTGAGGCCACGGGGTGGGATGTCACACACAGCCGTCTTCACGTTGTTGGGGATCCATTCCACGAAGTAGCTGCTGTTCTTGTTCTGCACATTGAGCATCTGTTCATCCACCTCCTTCATGGACATGCGGCCCCGGAAGATGGCAGCCACAGTGAGGTAGCGGCCATGGCGGGGGTCACAGGCGGCCATCATGTTCTTGGAGTCGAACATCTGCTGGGTGAGCTCGGGCACTGTCAGGGCCCGGTACTGCTGGCTACCCCGGCTGGTCAGGGGGGCAAAGCCGGGCATGAAGAAGTGCAGCCGGGGGAAGGGCACCATGTTCACTGCCAATTTGCGGAGGTCTGCATTCAGCTGGCCTGGGAAACGCAGGCAGGTGGTGACCCCGCTCATGGTGGCTGACACCAGGTGGTTGAGATCCCCGTACGTGGGGGTGGTCAGTTTCAGGGTACGGAAGCAAATGTCGTACAGGGCCTCATTGTCAATGCAGTAGGTTTCATCTGTGTTCTCCACCAGTTGGTGGACAGACAGAGTGGCGTTGTAGGGCTCAACCACGGTGTCTGACACCTTGGGAGAGGGCATGACACTGAAGGTGTTCATGATGCGGTCGGGATACTCCTCCCTGATCTTGCTGATGAGCAGCGTGCCCATCCCGGACCCTGTACCGCCCCCCAGTGAGTGGGTCAGCTGGAAGCCCTGGAGACAGTCACAGCTCTCAGATTCCTTCCTCACCACATCCAGCACCGAGTCCACCAGTTCTGCTCCCTCTGTGTAGTGGCCCTTTGCCCAGTTATTGCCAGCACCACTCTGGCCTGCCAGAGGGAAAGGGACTTCATCAGTCACTAGTGTTTTGATTAAATTCTTATGTTAAACCCCTTAATATAGATCAATGAGTCAGCACTTAGACAAAATTATTACCACCAAAGTGACCAGACATTAAAATATTTGGCCATAGATATAAATAAGGAAGGCTAGGACATCAGGCGGTGTTTTGTTCTGCTGTGCATGGGGTCTCTATGAGTCAGAAGCCACTTGACAGCACCTAACAACAACAACAGGACATCTGGCTATTATAAGATGAAATTTATATGAGGATTAAGTTGGCCCACAATGGATGTTCTTCAAACATCCTTTCAGCAGCCCTGCTCTCCCCTGTGGACTGTCCAAGGTAAAATGATCCCACACCATTCAGTTATGCAGGCACTTACCGAACACGAAGTTGTCGGGCCTGAAGATCTGGCCAAATGGCCCTGACCTGACTGAGTCCATCGTGCCAGGCTCCAGATCCACCAGGATGGCCCGTGGCACATATTTGTTACCTGCGCAGAACAAAAGCTGGATTGAGACCTGAAGGCGGAGCGCTATGCTTCCTCCTTGCGAACAAAAGAGGACTAGGTTTTCAAAGGACTAGGGTGGGCACAAGGAAGTCCAGTGAAGAGTGGGAGCCCTAAGTCCTCTGTGTTGACCTCTTTGGGGCCACACCCGAGGCCTTCCCAGAGAAAAGAGGGCGAGGGGTAAAGGCATTTACCAGTGGCTTCATTGTAGTAGACATTGATTCTCTCCAACTGCAAGTCACTGTCGCCATGATAACTGCCAGTGGGGTCGATACCGTGCTCATCACTGATGACCTCCCAAAACTGAGACAAGAAAAAAGCCGCATTTTAGCCATGCACCGCACGCAGAGAGGCCCCTCACAATTAAAAAAACCTTCGACTCTGTTGCCACAACCCAATCTTTAGGGAGTTTTTAGGCGGCTTGACTATGGTACTGGCTATCCAAGGTCAGAAGAAAGACGAAATTGGGAGTTTCTCGGGAAAACAGCTGCTCCAGTCTGGGGTCGCGCGCCGGAGGTGGGAGGTGCTTGGAGCTCTCCCGGCCGCGTGGGGTCCCGAGGCCCGGGTACCAGTGGCAGCAGCTGGGCTGGGAAGCAGGTTCATGGTTGAGGGCGGTGGCGGTGGGGCTCGCAGGGGACTCAGGCCGGAGGGTAGGGGGTGGGGCGAGGACTGAGCTTAAGGAGGGTTACTTTACATTCATAGCACGTCCCTCCACCGCTCTACAATCACTCTCCTCCCCCGCCCTCAGCAGCCAGACTCCGGTTCAAACAAGTAAAATTCATTCTCCTCGCCGCCCAGCCCCGCCCGCGGCAAACCCGCGGCCCCGCAGACACACACACCTCCCAGGCGACACTGCGGACTGAGCAAGAAATAAACCGAGGAGTGGCCGAGAGACCAAGTGAAAGGCAGGAAAAATCAAAGAAAGCATCCGGAGGGGTGGCCTCGAGCACTGGTTCTCTGTTTAGGGCGCGGCCACGCCCCACTACAGCAGCAAAGAGCGTAGGGGAAGCTCTACACTAGCTGAGCCGCGCCAGTCTAGGACCAAGCTAGCGCCCAGCTGGCCATAAGGACAAGCTCCTCCAGGACCCAGGGGTTACTGGCCCGGCCCCTCCCCGGTGCTCCTGTCCCCAGCCCTGCCCAATTCCTGGGGACACCCGCCCAGCCCCTCATTGGGGCAGGCCCACCTTGGCGCCGATCTGGTTGCCGCACTGGCCCGCCTGAATGTGCACGATCTCACGCATGGTGTTTCGCTAGCTCCCTTCCCGGCTCTAGGCTGTGTCCGCTGGATCTGTCGGTCCTTCCCTACACACCCAGTCCAAGAGCACGAGGATTGCACTTAGGAACCGACCCGCTGAGAACAAGGGTGCCGCGGGCTCGGCCTTTTATGTTGGGGGGCGGGGCGCCCGCGCAGGCCGCGCCCCCAGCCCGAGCCCCCCAGTCCTGGCTCAGTAGGGCTCGGTGACGTAATCCTCCAAGCCCTGGGGACAAACAGGGGTACGGGCCCCACAGCCAATCAGCACAGCCTGGCGGCCCGGGAGAGGGGTGGGGCCTTCGAAAGTGAGGTGGGGGGCGTGCGCATTGTCTAAGGGGAGGAGGGGGATAAACTGGATAGCGGGTAGCGAGGCGGTGATGGCCTGCGAGTGCCGGTCTGCGGGTGTAGTAGGGGAACTAGGGTCCTGGACACTGGAAAGGGGGAAAGGCAGGAGTAGGTGGAGGGGCCAGCAGGTGCCGACAGGTGAGTGGTGCATGTGGCTAGGGCTGCGCTGCTCGAGTGGATTACGGCTCTTCCTCAGCCTGAGCCCCAGCTCTCACCGCCCACCTGCTGCCAGTGAAGCTACTATACCCGTTTCTCAGCCCTGAACGCCAAAGGCTGCCCAGAGGTAGACCTCTCGCTACACACAGCCTCCGGGACAGATCGGAGGCCCTTGACGGAAGTCCTATGTAATGGGGACGTTGGTGTCTGAGGGGCGAGCCCGAGCACTGGCGATTCAAGAGTCCCAGGTTGCCGTCGGCCAGTTCCCTTCTTTGTCTTACTCAAGGGCCATTTCTTCCTTTCCCTGCATCTCAACACCCAGGTCTCGGGCTATCTCGGCCGTCCCTGCTCTTGTTTATCCCTTCCTAGAGTCAGAAGCGCTCGGACTGCGGCTGAGGTCCCCTCCCACCTTGCGGGCCTGGCTTTTGCTCCCTGTGAGTGGACATGGGCGTGGCTGGCCGTGGACCTTGGTCAATTCCGCGGGCAGAAATGGGTGTGGGTGTCGGGGCGGGGCTGCCGGCGGAACAAAGATATGGGATCCTGTCGGCAACTTCGGTCTTAAAATCAGCCTGGAGCTCCTAGTTCCGGCCTCAAAGGGTGGCGGTTGAGTGCCTAGCCGCAAACATTCGTGTTGTCTATTCATTGTGCGCCGGACCCCGCGGCGGATGCAACCGTGAGGGAGCAAGGAGACCCACCACGAGGTCCCCAGCCTTGTGCTGCGGTTAAGGGTGGGACTCGCCTAAAATCTGCAGCACTGGCGAGGTAGAGGCCACCGGGACACAAGCGCACCAACAAGCGCATGCGCAGACGCAGAGCAGGACCCTCCCCTGCAAAAATCCGCAGTCTGGGTATTTGATGGTGAAGCTGATCTCTTTGTTGCTCTTCATGTCTCTGTCTCTTTCTCTCTCTACGTGTGTGTGTGTGTGTGTGTGTGTCTCCAGAGGACTATTGTGAGTACGCTGGAGGGAGAAAGGGAGGGAAGAGAGTGGCAGATAACGTCCACTGCAGACCCGAAACCCATTCCCTTCAAAGCTACAAGGGGGTTGCCCCTCCCCCGACGCTGGGCAAGTTGTCTGCTAGAGCATTGACTCCTTTTCACCCTCTGGCAAGAGGGGCTTCCCACAGTGGAATAGGGCCTGCAGCTGTTGAGTGCGACCCTCCCAAGACTATCGGCAAGCTGTCCTCGCCTCCTTTTCCCGCTGGGGCCGGGGGTGGGGGGTGGGGCTTTCACCTCGACGCTAAAACAAAGAGAAGTCGACAGAACAAAAACCCAGCCGCTCCCCAGCAAACACACCCTGAGCCCAGGCTAGCGCTCGCGGAGCAGGGTTCCCCAGACTCTGGCTCCTGTCTGGTTAGAGTGGGGTTGAGCGAGAGCGAGCAGAGCAGAGGTCCGCACAAATGCCCCACTCGAGGTTCACAGACGCAGTCCTTGAGGACCCCCGGTCAGAGCCGGAGTTTCTAATCCAGCTCTTGCAGATGCAGAAACCGTCGAGGGCAATCAATTCCTGAGGTCACACAGTGACCTAAAAACAGGGCTCGGGCTGGAGTCTCGTCGACTGGCACCAAGCCCTCGGGAAGGTGACTGCGTAGTGGGCGAAAGGGCGGTGGCAGGTGTAAGCTCCCGGCGCAGACAGAGGCTTAGTTGCACTAGCGCTGAGATTGTAGACGCACCAGAACCGTCCGCCCTGGTTGCGAGCGCCGAGGAGGAACCAGATGCACAGCGTTCGGGGTCTCCTCTGTTCCACGCGGTGTAATGCGAACCCGCCGGCCGCCTCCCTCACCTAACAGTTTTATTTTTCAACTTCGGTTTCTGAGCCAGATCTCCGCGAAGCATTGGGGGAAAACACTTGTTCGAGATTATGTACACGAAAGGACCCTTCCCTCTCGGGTTTCCTTAGGGGAGGGGACTTGGAAAGAAGATCCTGGAAATAATCCCCTTGGGGAACTTTTGGTCAGAGCTCTACTTTCTTTTTATGTCCGTATTCCCAGCTCCCACCCCACCCGCCAGGGAGGACAAGCCAAGCAGGCCTTCTAATAACCAGTTCTCCTCCACTCCCACCGCATTTGGAATTACGGTGTTGAATATTTTTATTTTCACCAAGAGATGATTTGCTGTTGAAAGGCTGAACGCTGATGACCCCATGTCTTTTCCTGAAGCCCTTAAGTTTATGTGCTGTTTTTTAAAAAATCATCTTTATTCCATGTAATTCTCCAAAAGAGACCAGCAGGGACTTTCACACATACACACACACACACACACACACACCAAATCCTATTGTGTTACATTTTCAGTTGGGGTCCAGCATTTCTTTTTGCCTGCTTATTATTATACGTAATTCCTCTCAATCTAGACAGGAAGGTTTCAAGAGCATGTATTTCATCATTACTTCATTCCATTAGCTAAGTGATGAACTAGTATTTTAAAATTTCGCCTTTCTAGAGACAGTTTTTTGGTTAGAGACAGTTGTAGAAATATCCCTGTGTAACAGAAAATTCCACATTTCCTTTTTTCCACATATCTGTTCTACATTTGTTTCACATAATTGATTGTACAGCTGAGGTGAGCAAGTTATTCTCTAAACTGTTAAAATTATATTTCCTCTCAAATTTTTCAGACTATTTTCAATGACAAATTCTCAAGTGATCTCACTTTTGTCTGTTACACAGATAGATGGAGGCATTGTTTTAAGTAATTGAGGCAGGTTGATAGAAAGGCAGATTCACGTAGATGATTTTTTCACGTAGTGAATTTTAGAAGCGCTGCCTTCTCAATGCAAAGTATATTTTTCACGTTTGTGTTGCTCTTACAAAACATATAGCTTTCAGATTTTCTCCCACAGCCAGTGTGCATTCACCCCTTAACACTCAGCCCGCAGCTCCACTGCCAACAGTCACCTCCGCAGCCTTGCGGTACGCGGTTGCCTAGCAACGCACACTTAGCCAATGAGGGAAGAGAAACTGAAAGAAAGCGTCTGCAGATCCATCATTATTTCCTCTTTTGCTCTTCTCAATGCTCTCCGGTTTAAAATATTGGAAAGCTACCAACTCTAACATTTATGTGAAGTGATGAAATGTCCAGAGGACTTGGGCTACTACCGCGACGGGGTGGCAGGCTCGTATTGTGAGGGTGAGGGCGATGGTAGGCGATTCTGGAAACCCACAGAGATGCAAGCTCGTCCGTCCTCATTCCACTCCCGCTCCCTTTCCTCCCGCCGGATGGGGCCTAGTCGCCCAGGCTCTGTATTCAAAGGGGCAGCGGTCCATGCCCAGCCTGGGGCTCAGTGGAGACCCAGTTCCCAGGTAACAGAGGGCTGGAATGAGAAGAGAATCCGAATTTGTAAGCGCAACCCAGTGCGGAAACATTTGCCTCTTTGTTCTTCAGGAAGGCGGGGTGTTTCCCAGAGCTGGCCATTTGAATTTGGGTTTAAATGGCCTCTATGCAGACTGAAAGTGCTGCTGTTTCTCAGAAGAGAATTACCTTCTTTCTAATACAAATCGGCCGGGAGAGTGGAGCCTGGCTTTAGGAGAAGCCATTTCCCTTTTACAGGCAATGTCATCCTCCCCCACACTATGAATTATTTCTAAGGTTCTTAGACGGGTGAGGGAGGGCAGCCCCGGAGAATGGGAGCTCAGTGAATCCTAGGAAAACGGCATTTCGTGACCTAGAGCGAGATTCTACAGAACGCAGAAACAACAGACAGAAAAGTACTTTTAAATGGAAACATCAGAAAATAGTAAGAAGTAGACATGGTTCTGGCAAGTTGCACTGGGTGAAAAGTAGATAAATTCCCTGTAAAATGAATGAGGCACCAGGGAAAATAAGATGGGCAGCCATCTTAAGTTCCAGCAGCAGGTTACTATGATACTGATGTGATTCTAAGGCTGTCATTATGCATTAGGAACTGTTCTGCCAGCAATTGCTGCTGCCAGCTCACACTAGCTCTTCTAAATCAGTCCTGGAAACTTTGCTTGCCATCTAACTAAAGTTAAAGTATACATATTCAGGGAGCTCTGGTGGCACAGTGCCTAAGGTATTTATCTGACTGCTAGCTAGAAGGTTGGGGGTTCAAACCACCAGCCACTCTGCAGAAGCAAGCCTGGGCAATCTACTTCCTTAAAGCTTTACTGCCTCGGAAACCAAATGGGGGTCGCTATGAGTTGCAATCCACTCCACGGCAGTGGATTTGTTTGTTTTTGGTTGTATGAGTATTCAGATAGAAACATACCTACACCTACATATGTCAGCCCCAGGGTTACAGGTGAGGAGAGACAACTCAGGGACGCCCAAGGTAGTAGGTGGGAAGAGCAGGAGAGAGGGGATTAAAAGCCAGGAAGCCAGAGATAAGAGCAATCAGCCAAAGGGATTAGGTGAGGAGAGGAAACTCAGGCCCGCCCAGAGTAGCAGGCCGGAAGAGCAGGAGAAAGGGGATAAAAGCCAGGAACTCGGACAGAGGAGCAG